AAAAAAAAAAAAAAAAGGACATGGACCAGTGGGTGGTGACGCCGGCCTGCTGGGTAGCAGGGTGGCTTTGGGCAAGACAGGAGCCTTGGGCGGGGCACGATCGGAAGTGAGTTTTAACACGATTCCACTGGGTTAGACCGGTGCTTGGAACCTGGTGGTCTCTCCCGCTGTCAGCTGCCACTCAGGCCTCAGGCCCCTGCCCGTCTGCTCTCAGGGTGGGGTCCACCCAGGGCACCCCAAGAACAGACAGGGGCGGCTGGCCCTGGTGGTGTGACGATGGGAGTCACAGGCGAGCAGATCCACAGGAACGCACTGGGCTTGCCCCAGGTCCACCAGGACATTCCTGATGAGTGACCCTGGCTGCAGATGGTTCTGTGGACCGGCTGGCTCAGGCCAAAGGACCTCAACGTGCCAGGCCTCCATGGAACTCAGCAGCCACCCCTAATCCCGGCTGGAATCCTCTGGCATTGGACGCCCGGCGGGGCTCCAAGGCTACTGGGCCCGCGCCAGGTTCCGGCCTGACTCCACGCAGCACTGCCGGAGGGAAAACACGCTGGAGAGGCCGGGTGCTGGGCTCGCCTGGGTTTGGGGAAACAAGAGGAATGTCCTGTCTTCTTCCTCTGTAGGTGGTGCTAATGAAAAACCCCTTTCAGCATGGACTAAATCCCGATAACTCTGTTTAGGGACTGCCTAGTCCGGGCCACCACCTGGGGCTTCCAAACGCAGCTCCGTGTGGGTCCCGGGTATGGAGGGCCGGGGGTCACCCACTCGCCCACGACGGCTCCCAACCTGCTGGCCCAGCCCTGTCCGACTCTTAATGCAAGCAGCGCTCCTGGAAACATTAGTTCGGGGTATTTTCTGCTGCTGGGATGGTGGCCCGTGAGGAGGGGCTCGGCTGCTCCTGGTGGCCCTGCAGGGCCTGGCCCTCAGTTTCCCCAGCCGTAGGCAGGCAGCCTCAGACTGTACAAGAGGTCCAGGCCTCAGTTTCCCCAGCTGTGTGGTCACCCATGGACTGTGTGAGGCCCGGGCCTCAGTCTCCCCAGCTGTAGGCGGGTGGCCGTGGACTGTGTCTGGCCCGAGCCTTGGTTTCTCCAGTTGTAGGTCAGGCAGCCGCAGACTGCACAAGGTTGAGGGTCAGTTTCCCCAGCTGTAGGTTGGGCGGTGGTGGACTGTATGAGGCCTGGGCCTCAGTTTCCCCAGAGGTAGGTGAGCGGCTGCAGACTGTGTGGCCTGGGCCTCAGTTTCCCTAGCTGAAGGCCGTTGGCCATGGACTGTACAAGGTCCAGGGCTCAGTTTCCCCAGCTGTAGGTCGGGAGGCCGCCCACTGTGCGAGGTCCAGGCCTCAGTTTCCCTAGCTGTAGGAGGGCAGCAGCCACTGTGTGGGGCTGGGGCCTCAGTTTCTCGTTTCTCCAACTGTAGGCGAGCGGCCGCGGACTGTGCGGGGCCCGGGCCTCAGTTTCCCCAGCTTTAGGCGGGCTGCCGCCCACTCTGCAAGGTCCAGGCCTCAGTTTCCCCAGCTGTAGGCGAGCGGCCGCGGACTGTGTGGGGCCCAGGCCTCAGTTTCCCCAGCTGTAGGCGAGCAGCCGCCCACTGTGCAAGGTCCAGGCCTCAGTTTCCCCAGCTGTAGGCGAGCGGCCGCGGACTGTGCGGGGCCCGGGCCTCAGCCTCCCCGTCTCCGCAGGCCAGCTTCGCTGTTCCAGGACGAACAATGGACGATCCGGGATGACCCCAGATCATGTCGTGCCCGCAGTCTCCGTGGCCACTGTGGAAACAGCCCTTGCGTGTCAGGAACGCGACGCGGCTTTCCCCTGCGCAAGCGATCGCCTAGATGCGAGCGCTTAGCTTGAATCGGGCTTTTTGGCCACGTGCCCACAAGCAATATGGAGCCCTGCGGGTTTCCTGCCCGATTCCAAGATGGCGACGCGACTCCCTTTGCCCTCAAGGTCCAGGAGGGCGGCTCCTGCCCACTTGCAATATGGCGGCAGCCTGGGCCAAGCACGCTTCCCGCCGCCTGACTCGCCACGTACCCACTCTCAAGATGGCGTCTCCCGCAAAGCCACGCGCCAGACGACAGCTCGCTGAGTGGCTCAGACGCCGTCACGTGCTCCCACCTCCTCCGCGTTCCCCCGACTCTACAGGCCGTTTCCGCCTTCAGCCTTGACGAATGATCACCTCCACCAATAGGCGCCTGCGATTTCCCTGGGTCCCGCCCCCGAGCGGCCTTCTGGCCATTCGGAGACGCTGGCGGGGGCTCGCGGGGCTCTCCCCGCCCCTGGGCTGCGGCGGGAGCCAATGGGCAGCGCGCGCGGGGGACGTGTGCGGGCGTCTCCGCCATTTTGTGAGTCTATAACTCGGAGCCGTTGGGTCGGTTCCTGCTATTCCGGCGCCTCCACTCCGTCCCCCGCGGGTCTGCTCTGTGTGCCATGGACGGGTGAGTCGCATCTCGCCCCGCGCCCCGCCGCCCTCTCCGCGCCGCAGCCCTGCCCCGGTCGCCGCGCCGGCCTCCCCGGAACCGATCCCGCCGCCGCCCGGGCAGGAGGGGGCTGCGGGCGTTCCCCTCCCCCTCCGCGTGGCGGGCGCGGGCGCGGGGCGGGCTGGGGGCTTCCCGGGGGGTCTGGCCGCGTCCCCGTCTCACTCCAGGCCCGCTTCCGCCCCCCGCACGCCCGGTCCCGAGCGCACGCGGCAGCCCGCGCCCCTCCCCCTCCGCGCGCGGCCCCGGCGCTTCGCGTTTGCCCCGCCTCGGCGGCGCGCGCCCCTTCCCGCTTCCCGTCCGGCCCTCGCGCGCCGGGCTGGCCCTTCCCGCCTCCCGTCCGCGCCCCTCGTGCGCCTGCGTAGACCGACGCGCGTCCCCGCTGGCCTCAGCGCGCGTGCGCGGCCGCCCCTCGGGGGCGCGCGCCTTTCCCGCCGCCAGGACCCTGCCCTGGGCGCAGCCCCGGAAGCGCGGGCGGGGCCGGGGCGGCCGCGGGGAGGGAAAGCCGGAGCCTGTGCGTTCCCCGCCCTGCCCGCCGCGATCCCGGCCGCGGCCGCGGGGTTCCGGTGATGTCGGGAGGAAGGCGGCCGCCCGGGGGCCTGTCCTCCGCCTCGGGGCCGGAGGGGCCTCTCCGGGGACTCGCCGTCCTGGGCAGGGGTCTTCCCGCGCTCGGGGCGGCCCCTGCGGGCGGCGGAGCGGGCGGGCCTTGCCCCGGCGGTGGCGGGAGCCCCCTCCTGAGCCCGCGTCCGCCGAGCGCGTCCTGCGCGCTCCTCCCCGGGACTGGGGAGCGGAGAGGCGGGCGGCGGAGACTTCGGCTCCTTCCCGCCCTTCCGGGAAGCGCTTCCTCGGCTCCGTCGCCGGGGAAAGCGCGCTGGGAACGGGCCCGTGTGGCCCTTTGTGTCCCGGCGCAGAGGCGCAGCCCTGGGGCGGGTCTGGCCCCCTTAGGACGCGCGGGAGCAGGTGGGTCCCGGCCCCGCGGGCTTGGGGGTCGCACGCTCCCGGAGGGAGGCTCGAGGCCCGGGCTGCGCCCCCGGACCCGCGGTCCGAGTCACTGAGGCCCCCCTGGAGGTGCAGGGGCCCCGTGGAAGCCGCCGGGAGCTCGGTTGGGTCAGGAGCCGGCCCGGGCTGAAGGGAGGGCCCCCGGCTGCCCGCCTTCCTTCCACCTTCCCCGCGGGGCGTCCTGGGGAGGGAGAGTCGGGTCGGGTGGGGCTCGGGTTGATCAGTAACCGGGGCCGTGTTCTGGTCGGTCTGTTAATTTTTACTGGCGGCTTCCACGGCCGCCACCCGCCCTGTTCGGTGGACCTGGCCCCACTCTGCTGAGAGGCACTCTCGGGCCACCCCCGCCCCGGCGGAAAGTCCGGCCCAGGCCGCGTTGGCCGGCTTCAGCGTCTCCCCGCGTTTCCATGATAGCCCTGAGCTCGCACGCGGCCATCTAGCATCCCTTGGGGCTTCCAAGAGCGGTGGCTTTGTGTTTTCTGGAGACGGAGTTTCGCTCTTGGTGCCCAGGCCGGAGTGTTCAATGGCGAGATTACTGGCGTGTGCCACCACACCCGGATAATTGTGTGTTTTTGGTAGAGACTGGGTTTCTCCGTGTTCATGCTGGTCTCGAACTCCCGACCTCAGGTGATCCGCCTGCCGTGGCCTCAAAGTGCTGGGATTATTGGCGTTAGCCCCCTCCCTCGCCTGGTCCCAAGAAAGTGTTTTTGTCTTGGGACCTGGGGCCTGGGGTCCTGCTGGGAGGGAGGGGTGCCAAAGGTCAATGGTGGCCCTTTTTCAAGTTGCAGGCCAGCGGACAGTTCACTTCCCTGCTCTTCCGAGCTGTCTGTAGTGGGGCCTCATGCAGCCAGAGGGAGCTGTGGGGACAGCCGGCCCTGGCGGCCCTCCTGCCTGCTGAGTGGCACTCCTGGCTAACACTGTCTCCTTTCTCTCTCTCCACAGCATTGTCCCAGATATAGCAGTTGGTACAAAGGTAGGCACTTCTCAACTTTGCTTCTTGCTTGTGCTCCTCTGACCTTGCGCTGACGCCGGGGCCACCCTGCCAGCTCTGCCGCGCTGCCCGGAGAGCGCCGTTCCGTTCTAAGGGCACACTGCCTTGGCCTGCAATCCGGATTTGGGTGGTAGGGTTTGAGCCCTGGGTTCTGGGTGCCCTGAGTTTTGGGTGGCTTGGATTTGGTGGCCACTCAGAAGAATCTGAGCCGCTCTAAAGCTACCGCCGACATCGGCAGGGGCTCTGCCTGCCCCAGGCCTGCCTTTGGAGCCTCTTCTGCCCCTTAAAGCCTGAAGTTGTGCCATCTAGTGGGATCTCTCATGTCGTGGTTGCCAGGGAGAGGCTTGGTTTTGATAGGAAACAAGCTCTCTGGCTGTGGAGGGGACTGGGCAGACCCCAGTGCCTAGGAGGGGTGTTTAGAGGTCGCTTTTGACATTAAGTTTTTTTTTTTGTAGGATGGATTCTCTTTCTCTTTTTTTTTTTTTTTTTTTGAGATGGAGTTTCGCTCTTGTTACCCAGGCTGGAGTGCAATGGCGTGATCTCGGCTCACCACAACCTCCGCCTCCTGGGTTCAGGCAATTCTCCTGCCTCAGCCTCCCGAGTAGCTGGGATTACAGGCACGCACCACCATGCCCAGCTAATTTTTTGTATTTTTAGTAGAGACAGGGTTTCACCATGTTGACCAGGATGGTCTAGATCTCTCGACCTCGTGATCCACCCGCCTCGGCCTCCCAAAGTGCTGGGATGACAGGCGTGAGCCACCGCGCCCGGCCTGGATTTTCTTTCTCTTATGCAGGTTGGAGTGCAGTGGTGTGGTCTCTGCTCACTGCAACCTCCATCTTCTGGGTTCAAGTGATTCTCCTGCCTCAATTTCCAGAGTAGGTTGGGATTATAGGCGTCCTGCCCCCATGCCTGGCTAATTTTTCTTTGTATGTTTTTTAGTAAGATGGGGTTTCAATATGTTGGCCAGGCTGGTCTAGAACTTCTGACTTGACATGACCTGCCAGCCTCTGCCTCCTGTAGTGCTGGGATGACAGGCGTCGGCCACCGCGCCCGGCTGACATTAAGCATCTTCATGTCGTTTGGGTAACACAGCAGCAAACTATCAGATGTTTGGGGTGAGAGAAAGTGGAGGTGCTGCGGCCAGGGCCAGAAGGAAGGGGCGCTGCTTCCCCATAGAGGTTAGGCCAGCTCCGAGCCTGTGAGGACGGGGTCAGACCCGGAGAGTAAGGTCCTGGGGAGGCCAGCGGTTTTCGGGCGGACCTGTGGTCCCGGCTTGGCCTGGGGTAGGTGGTTAACGATTCTGCTGGTGGTTGTGTGTTGAGGGGGCTTCCAACTTCAGAGCTTGTCCCCCAAGAGTGTCCTGCAAGGCGAGCCCCGGATGGTGGTGTTCTGAGCAAGCCTCCGGCTGGTTTCTGGTCAGTCAGCGGTCGTGCCTGGGCCAGGTTTCGGTTTTCCAAGTGGACTGCTGTCTTTACACGCTGCCTGTCCTGATCTTCCTGCAGATAAAACCTGTTTGTTCAGTGTGGGAGGAGGGAGAGGACTTTCATCTAAAGCGCTTGCAACAATCCCTGGATGTGTTTGGCTGGCAGGCATCCTCTTCCCTGCTTCTGTGGGGCCGCTTTCCAGCCAGAGCTTCCCTCGGCTTCCCTTCAGCGGTCCTGGAGCCCTCCCCTTGTGTTCCTAGGGGGCTTGTTGGCTGGGCTGGGATGTCGAAGCCCAGCCAGGACAAGATGGCCTTCGGGCTCTGGTGCAGGGAGGAGTGGCTGCCACAGGGCAGGGTGAGGGCCTCTGCTGGGTGCAGGCCCTGGTAGGTGGGCGGGGCTGAGTCCAGACCCAGGTGCTCACCCCCACTACTATCAGGGAGGCCTTGGCTGACCTGGGTGCACACCTGGCCACGCTGCCCTTCAGCCCAGGACAGAGCAAGCTCCTGTTGAGTGTGGAAAGACCGCAAGGGCCCAGGGCCCATGCTGCGGGGCCCCAGCTGCAGACTGGGAAGTCCTGTCATTCCGTGTGCTTCGGGACAGGTGCCCTGAAGGGGCCCTCCTGGGGTGCCTGGTGGCCTGGCTGTGAAGGCAGTGGGGGCCTCACCAGCGCCAGCCCAGCTCCTGTCTCCTGGTTGCTGCCCTGTGGAGCCTGCAGGTATCTCTCCCGTTCTGCCGGGGCGCCCAGGCGGGCGTGGAGTTTGCCACAGACGGTTGTGTGCATGCCAGGCCACTGGCCCATGGGAATGAGATTAGGGCTCGGGCAGGCGGCCAAGAATCCGCTCAGAAAACTCAGTCCCGCCTGCCACTCCAGCGAAAGACAGGGTCTAAGATGCCCTTTTTAAGGTCTGTGCAGCCGGCACATGGGAACCGCATGGGCGCCTGGCCACCGTCCAGCTTGAGGAGGACCAGCCCTGGTGTCCTAGAGAGTCGGCTTCTGGGCTCTCCAGCCTGTGAGCTGGGGGGAGGGGAGGCAGGAGCGACTTCCTGTGGGGGTGGCGGTGGAGGCTCTGTGTCTGCGTCTCAGGTGCACCCTGCCTCCCCGTCCTGGCACACCTGTGTTTTCCGATGGCATGGTTTCCACCTGAGGCCGCTGGCTCTGAACCCTTTCTCCTGTGACTGCACAGCCCCACCTCTTGCTCACAGACGGCAAGGAGAGGGCTCCAGGGTCTGTTTTCAGCATTTGGCTTGTGTCTGGCCGGAGCGTCAGGGCTGCCCTGACGCTGGAAGCCTGGGGGACTGACAGCGTCATTTGGGTGGGTGCAGGGCCCGCGGGACCTGAGCGATTCTGGTTCCAGCTCTGTGGCTTCTCGATTGCTTGTTTGGTGACACCCTGGGTGCTTGTGGGATTGGCCTGGGGTCTCAGGGCAGCAGTTACAGGTCTGGTCATCAGGTCCTTCCCATCCTCTTTGGGCAGGTACTGGGGGCTCTGCAGGCTGTCATGGAGCCTTCCTTCCAAGAGTTCTTGAGCCAGGGCCACAGAAGAGCCCGATGGGGGCCAGGGCAGGTCTGGAGCTGAGTGTGGGTGGAGGGAAGTAGCCTTAAGACCATCCAGAGAGGCACGTGTGGGGAGGGCAACTTGGGGTCAGTTCCTCGACCAGGCATGGGGGTGTGTGGAGCTGAGGCCGTCTGGGGACAGGGCAGGATCTCCACTGGTTCCTTCTGATGCCGTGGCCCTGGGCCCCTCAGCAGGTGGGGGCAGGCTCTTGGCCTGGCGCCTGGGTCGGGAGATGGAGGCGCTCCTCTGTTCACCAGGATGGCCCTGCCTGGGGTCCTGGGCGCTGCCCTCAGGCCGGCTGTGCAGGCCAAGCGCCTGAGCTCCAAGGTCCTCAGACCCGAGCTTTGTTTTCTGTGTAACTAAGGGCGGTAACCAGCGTCTGCTCCGATTTCACTTTTTGAATAAACGCGTGTGTCTTTAGTCCTTGCAGCAGGCGGGGCTGTCCACCCTCCTGAGCCTAGGATCAGTCTGGTGTAATTCTTCCGAGGAGTTGATTCACTTAGAAATGACAAGTGAACGGATGGTCTTTGGAGAGAGTGTGGTCAGGTCAGAAGTTATGGGGCCACTGTAGCGCTCCCCTGGCCATACAGATGACTGCACGGAGAGGCCCTGTCCCTAGTCCTTGGGTGCGCCGAGGCGGGGGTCGGGTTTCCTCGGGTGGCTGGAACCAGAGAGGCTCTTGCAAGAGCACAGGAGGCGGCACTGGTTTCGTTCTGCGAGGCCGCCGGGAATGAGGACAGCTGCCCGTCCTGCCATGCGGGGGCCTGTCTTTTGCTGCTGGGGAGGTTGGCTCCGTGGAGCAGGTCCCCTCCCTCCTGACGGGTGGCTGAGGCCCCAGGCGTTGTGTCCAGGGCGGCCAGCAGCTCGGTGAGGCCATGTCCACAGCGGAGTTGGCTGTGGGGTGGTGTACTCCATGCTTTCAGTAGCTGAGATCCTCCCCACCCTATACGGAGTGCCCCAGGGCTTCCAGAATTTGGAGAGAGGAGTGATGTCTTGGGATTGTGGGACTGTGGGGTGCTGGCGTGTCTGGGCTGGGGGTGTTTCTGGACACAGCCGGGGTCTGCGCTGGGAGGCGCCCTGCCCTGGAAGTGTGGGGGTGGGGTGGGGGCTGCCTGGCCTGGTGGGAAGTGCAGCTCACCCTCGTCCCTGGTCTTGCAGCGGGGATCTGACGAGCTTTTCTCTACTTGTGTCACCAACGGACCGTTTATCATGAGCAGCAACTCAGCGTCTGCAGGTAATGTCCGACTTGTCCCAGGGCAAGGCCCGTGGGTGTCTTTCCCCCAGAACAAGGTTACATTCTTGTTCTGGGATTCTCCCTTCCATCTGTACCTGCAGAGGCCCGTGGTCCCCACCGCAGGTCCCGTGTGAAGTTCTCTGCTGCAGAGAATTCCGGGGAGGCGCTGGGTGGTCCAGGCTGGCACTTGGACCTGTGGGGTGTTGCCGGGAAGGAGCAGGAGACCTGACCATGCTGGCCTCGGCTTTGTGCTGCTGGTTCACACACAGCCTCCTGGGGCCCGGAGTTGGGCTGTGTAGCAGGCAGGGCTCTGGGGGTCAGTGGGGACCTTTGCAGGGGTCACTCCTGCGAGCTGGTACCTGCGTCTCACGGCACTCCGTTTTCAGCAAATGGAAATGATAGCAAGAAGTTCAAAGGCGACAGCAGAAGTGCCGGCGTCCCCTCCAGAGTGATCCACATTCGGAAGCTCCCCATCGATGTCACTGAAGGGGAGGTCATTTCCCTGGGGCTGCCCTTTGGGAAGGTCACTAATCTCCTGATGTTGAAGGGGAAAAACCAGGTACCTGAACCCTGGGGCACCACAGGTGGGTGCAGGTGGGGACAAGGAGGGCCCGGTGCTCACTGTGTCCCCCCCAGGCCTTCATCGAGATGAACACGGAGGAGGCTGCCAACACCATGGTAAACTACTACACCTCCGTGACGCCCGTGCTGCGCGGCCAGCCCATCTACATCCAGTTCTCCAACCACAAGGAGCTGAAGACCGACAGCTCTCCCAACCAGGCGGTGCGTGGCTGCGCGGACCCCACCAGCCTGGGGCCTCGTGGGTGGGCCGGGCCATGGGGGTCAGGGCCTCACTCACGGCAGTGCCTCCCACAGCGCGCCCAGGCGGCCCTGCAGGCTGTGAACTCGGTCCAGTCGGGGAACCTGGCCTTGGCTGCGTCGGCGGCGGCCGTGGATGCGGGGATGGTGATGGCCGGGCAGAGCCCCGTGCTGAGGATCATCGTGGAGAACCTCTTCTACCCGGTGACCCTGGACGTGCTGCACCAGGTCAGGTGGCCCCGTCACTGTCAGGGCAGCGTGGGGTGGGCCGGGCAGGGCTGGAGCTCACGGTGTGGCCTGGGCCCCTGCAGATTTTCTCTAAGTTCGGCACGGTGTTGAAGATCATCACCTTCACCAAGAACAACCAGTTCCAGGCCCTGCTGCAGTACGCGGACCCTGTGAGCGCCCAGCACGCCAAGCTGGTGAGTGGGGCTCCTGGGCCGGCGCCCGCCCTGGCCCTGGCCCGCTGTGGCTCACGCTGCCTCCTCCTCAGTCTCTGGACGGGCAGAACATCTACAACGCCTGCTGCACGCTGCGCATCGACTTCTCCAAGCTCACCAGCCTCAATGTCAAGTACAACAACGACAAGAGCCGGGACTACACACGCCCAGACCTGCCCTCCGGGGACAGCCAGCCCTCGCTGGACCAGACCATGGCCGCGGCCTTCGGTAAGGGGCTGCCTGGCGCGGTGCCAGGTGTGCGGAGTGCTCTGTAGAGGTCGCTCAGTGTGGAGCCCCCGCGCCCGGGCCCTGCACCAGGGAGATGCGCCTGCTGCTCTCTGCACGGCCAGCACAGCACGGTCCGGTGCCCCCACGTCGGGACCCTGGCCCCCTAGAGCAGCGGATCTGCCCGCGAAGGCTCTTCTGGGGCCGCCCGCCAGCCGGGTTGGGGCCCGTCCCGCAGCACAGTGCCCGCTCGCGGTGGAGGTGGTGGGTGCGATGATTAGTGTCTCATTTATTTCTAGGTGCACCTGGTATAATCTCAGCCTCTCCGTATGCAGGAGCTGGTTTCCCTCCCACCTTTGCCATTCCTCAAGCTGCAGGTATTCAAACGCTTGGTCTTGGTTCCCCAGCGACTGCATGCCCACACCACCTTCCCAGGCAGCTCCGCGTCCACGGTGGCAGCCTGGGCAGACTGGGCACTCGAGTGCCAGGTCAGGGGCCCTTCCCGGGAGAGGGGACGCCACGTCCACAGAGCAGGCTTGGACAGGGCAGTGGTAGGACAGGGCTGTGGAGGCCCGCGTGTGGACGGCGCCAGCCAGCAGCCACTAACCGCGCAGTCTTTGTGGTCTGGTTCCCTTCAAGCACCTCCGGGCGAGCGTCAGGACGGCCAGTGGTTGGAGGGATGTGTCCCTAGTAGTTGAATTTGAGTGGCCTGGTAAGCGCGCGCCCGAGGCTGAGGAGCATGACCGGCGGCGGGACGTGTGTGCTGGCCGCCCTCCTGCTTCCCTTCTGGGACCGGGCCGCCGAGTGCTGGCCGTGGACGGAGCAGCGCGCGCGCCCCGCAGCCCTGTCTGCATGGAGGCGTGGGCCGGCATGCGCGGTGGCCCCGCCGTGTCTGTGCTGGCGGAGCCGGAGCTTTCTGTGCTGTGGGCGCATGCGGAGGAGCCCGAGCGCGAGCCCGGCGCGGCCGGTGCCGAGAGGAGAGGCGGGCGCTGGTGCAGGAGCCAGCTGGTGGCTGTGCGGGGGTCGGGCGACCCCGCAGGCGCCCGGGGCAGGGCCCGAGCCCGAGCCGCTTCCCGCGCGGCTCCTTGGTGCATGAGGATGGGAGTGTCTGCGTCTCCCGCTCCGCGGTGGAGGGGGGGCGCCGCTGTTCATCTCCCCTCCTGTCTTTCCAGGCCTGTCTGTTCCCAACGTCCACGGAGCCCTGGCCCCCCTGGCCATCCCCTCGGCGGCGGCGGCGGCTGCGGCGGCGGGCCGGATCGCCATTCCGGGCCTGGCTGGGGCAGGAAATTCCGTGTTGCTGGTCAGCAACCTCAACCCAGAGGTACGTGGGCCTCCTCCACGCCGTTCCTCCCGGAAGAGCGAGCAAGGGGTGTTGTGCGCGGTCCTGGGTCCGGGAGCAGCGCCGCCCCTCGCTGTTTCTGCTCCTCCGCTCCCGCAGCCCCTCCGCTACAGCGCTCGAGACCTCCTCTCCCAAGATGGCTTTGAGTTTTCCCATTTTCCTTCATTAACATCTTGGTTTGCGCTTTCAATTCCCTGATACACAGAAGGAAATCCTTTGTTTCCCAAAGGCAGTCTAAGTTACTTGGAGCCGAGCAGGTGCACTTTGGAAAGCCCCTGCAGGCTGTCCTGCTGGCCGGCGGGGCTCGCACGGTTAGCGTGTGGGGTGTGGACCTGTCACTTAACTCCTGAATCTGTTACTGGTCAGAATGGTTAAAAGCCCCTCGGGGAGAGCTTGGGTGAAATGAGGCTCAAAATACGTAACTCCTGATGGATGGGACCCCCATGGAATCAGCATTTCGGGCTGTTCTGTTATTCTGGCACCTCCTGTGGCTTCCTCAGGCAGTGCCCACCCTGGCCCTCCCTCGCGGGGGCACAGGACGCACTCCCTGCCTCTGCCTGTCACCGCGAGCCGGGCACAGTCCCTCCAGCTCCTCCTGAGCTAGAGGACCCATAGCAAGGCCGAGCACTAACAGACTCGATCTCCTTCACGCCTGTGTAATCGTCGTTAGAGACTTAATGCCACGGCTGCGGGAGACAGTGCTGCTGCGGGGCCTGGCAGAGGTGGCCAGGGTGGAGCGGCGCCTGCACTGGCGTGGCCTCCTGGGGGGCTTGGTTGGGGTCTGGCTTCTGGGAGCCCCTCAGCAGTGCTGTCCCCGCCGGCGTGTGAGTGAAGGTGCTTTTCTTACCGTGTGCCCCTCGCGGTAAACCTGTAACTGGAATGTGTGTGGTGTGGCTGATGGAACACTACCTGATTTTCTTATGTATTTACTGACCTGTGTTTTTTTGCTACTTTTTTTCTTTTCTCCCCTTCCCCTTTCCCAATTTTTTTTCTTGCCCTGATCCGGAATTTCTTTGCCAACTGACTGCACGGTACTTCTGCTTCCTGTTGTTGCTTGAAACCAAACAAAAACATAAACAAATAAAAAACAAAAATTCCCCCTCAAACCCTGCTCTCCGGAAACCAACCTGCCCTTGAATATTAACATCCTGACAACTTCATCATCCATCAACCACTGCACGCCTGCGGGGACTGTCTTCCTCGTGTGGACGATTGGCAACTCGCCCCCCTTGACCTCTCCCTCTCCCCTGTCCCTCCGCTGCCTTGCTCTGCTGTCTCTAAAGAGAGTCACACCCCAAAGCCTCTTTATTCTTTTCGGTATGTTATCATTCACACTTTTATTACCTTGTTTTCATTTAATTGAGATGATGTTTATGCCCTGAGACCTATTATGAGTTTGCGGTTTGGCACTCTGATGCTGTCACCGCGGCATCTGCCTCGTTTTATGGTTTGCTTTCGGTTTGCGTATTTTATTTGGTCCCGTAGATATGTACGCATGGTTTATCGCCCTGCATGCTTTTCAGAGAGCTAGACCTGTCGGCGGCATGCTCCCGTGGCCACCGCTGGTAGCCTACCTGTCCTGGATGCTATGACTTTGCTCAACGGAGCTGCTCCCGCTAGCGTCCCTGTGGCTGCGAGACGCAGCTCCGCAGTGGCCGAAAAGCAAACCCGGCCGGGCTGAGCCGGGCCTTGTGGGGGTGCGTGGGATCTCGGGGCTGACGGGGACATGGGAGGGGCAGGCAGCAGGCGACTCAGGCCCTGTCCCTGGGCTTTTGAAGGCGTCTACGGCGACGTGCAGCGCGTAAAGATCCTGTTCAATAAGAAGGAGAATGCCCTCGTGCAGATGGCGGACGGCAACCAGGCCCAGCTGGGTAAGAGGCCAGGGTGCCCTGTGAGGTGGGGGCGGCCCAGCTGGGTAAGAGGTGGGGGGGGGGGCCTCGGGCCACACTCCCTTTCGGGCGCTTGGTCACATGAGTGCCACTGTCTCCAGCCATGAGCCACCTGAACGGGCACAAGCTGCACGGGAAGCCCATCCGCATCACGCTCTCAAAGCATCAGAACGTGCAGCTTCCCCGTGAGGGCCAGGAGGACCAGGGCCTGACCAAGGACTATGGCAACTCGCCCCTGCACCGCTTCAAGAAGCCAGGCTCCAAGAACTTCCAGAACATATTCCCGCCCTCGGCCACCCTGCACCTCTCCAACATCCCGTGAGTGCCGGGCTGGGTGCGCACAGGGCTGGGTTCATGTGGGGGCTCTGCTTGGCTGTCTTGCTGGGTCAGTGCCTGGAATTCGGGGTTTCCAGAGTGCATGTTGGGTACCTCTCATCCAAAACTTGAAGGACTCCAAGGCCTGAAGCCTGAGCGTGAGGGATGCTCAAAAGAGGATCATTGGAGCACTGGGGATTTGGGGGTTTGGGGTTTTGGCTTAGGGAGATGATGCTCTGCTGTGAGAACATGTAACACATACCTGTACAATCCCAGCCCTGTGTGCCGTGCAGGGTTCAAGACTGGCCTGAGCAGGAAAGTGAGGCCTCTGTCTCTTACAGGGAAGATTGGTTGAAATTATCCGGAAGTGGTGGTGCAGGTCTCAGGTCCCAGCTATTTGGGAGGCTGAGGTGGCAGGGCTCACTTTGAGCTCAGGAGGTTGAGGTTGCCGTGAGCCGTGATTCTAGGCTGGGTGACCGATTAAGACCAAGACCCTGTCTCTAAAAAATGTATAATGCAAATGCTAGGAAATGGAAGTACATCTGACCCCAAGCATGTCAGAAGTACCGTTCAACCTGTAGGAAGCCCTTTTACATTTAACATGTTAGAGGGGCCTGGCAAAGTGGATGGTGTCTGTAATCACAGTATTTTGAGACGCCACGGTGGGATTTCTTCAGTCAGGGGTTTGAGACCAGCCTGGGCAACACAGTGAGACCCTCATCCCTACAAAAAGAAAAATTAGGCCGGGCGCTGTGGCTTATGCCTGGAATCCCAGCACTTTGGGAGGCCGAGGTGGGTAGAACTAGTGCTGATGAGGTCAGGGGTGCAGTGGCCTGTGAAGGTGTCACTGAACTCCAGCCTGCGTGAGTGAGATCCTGCCTCCTAAAATTAGGCCGGGCGTGGTGGCTCACGTCTGCAATCCAGCACTTTGGGATGCCGAGGTGGGTGAATCGTGAGGTCAGGAGATTGAGACCATCCTGGCCAACATGGTGAAACCCCGCTCTCCTTAAAAACAAAAATAAGCTGGGTGTGGTGGCGAATGCCTGTAGTCCCAGCTACTCGGGAGGCCCGGGCAGGAGAATCACTTGAACCAGGGAGCTGAGATTGCACCACTGCGTTCCCGCCTGGTGACAGAATGAGACTCTGTCTCAACAGTAATAATAGTGGAGGAACCTGGTGGTGTTTCTGCAGACCTGCAGGTACCTGGTTTTGGTAGAAGCTGCTTCAGACCTTTACGGACATGGTTTGATGCCCCGTTTCTGGGCCCCTAAAAGGCCCCCCCCCCCCGTACCTTCCCTAGCCGCTCTGAGATCTGTAGTCTGGAGAAAGCGTTGGGCTCATTCCTCTCTCCTTCCACAGGCCCTCAGTGTCCGAGGAAGATCTCAAGGTCCTCTTCTCCAGCAACGGGGGCGTCGTCAAAGGATTCAAGTTCTTCCAGTGAGTATGAGGCTGGTGGTGCCCGGCTCTCGGGAGCTGCCCTGTGGCCGGCCTGACCCCGTGTCTTGCAGGAAGGACCGCAAGATGGCGCTAATCCAGATGGGCTCCGTGGAGGAGGCGGTCCAGGCCCTCATTGACCTGCACAACCACGACCTCGGGGAGAGCCACCACCTGCGGGTCTCCTTCTCCAAGTCCACCATCTAGGGGCACGAGTCCCCCATGGCCGGGCCCCCTGGCGACAACTTCCATCATTCCAGAGAAAAGCCACTTTAAAAAGCAGCTGAAGTGACCTTAACAGACCAGAGATTTTATTTTTTTAAAGAGAAATCAGTTTACCTGTTTTTAAAAAAATTAAATCTAGTTCACCTTGCTAACCTTGCGGTGACGGGTGACAGCTCAGGCTCTTGGTGACTGTGGCAGCGGGAGCTCCTGGCCCTCCACACCCGGGGCCAGACCCTCGGGCCGTGCCTTGGTGGGGCCTGTCGGGCATGGGGCCTACGGGTGGACGCCCCAACCACGACTCGGCTTCCTTGTGCCTTAAAAAAAAAAAAAAACCTGCCTTCCTGCGGCCACGCACCCACCCTGGGTGTCCTGGGGTCCCAAGGGGCAGGGGTCACCCTTCAGAGAAAGGCAGGGGGCCCAGCAGGCTCCGGCAGGATCACGTGCCTGGCGTGTGGCAGGCTGTGGCTGCCACACCCCAACCCCGCCCTCTAATCAAGTGATGTGATTTTGCCCGCCCGCCCTGCCCACGGGACCTTCCCCTCTGCCCCAGGCGCTGGCCCAGGGTGCCCGCCGCTGCCTTCAGCTGCGGAGCTGTTCGTCATAATCTCTGTATTATATACTTTGCAGTTGCAGACGTCTGTGCCTAGCAATATTTCCAGTTGACCAAATATTCTAATCTTTTTTTCATTTATATGCAAAAGAAATAGTTTTAAGTAACTTTTTATAGCAAGATGATACAATGGTATGAGTGTAATCTAAACTTTCTCGTGGTATTACCTTGTATGCTGTTTTATTTTATTCCTTGTCATTCAGTCACAGGCGGGACCCAGTTTCCAGAGAGCAGGCGGGGCCGCCCGGCGGGTCGGGCTCGGGGAGCCCTGGTCCGATCTGAGCCCCGAGCTTCAGGGAAGGGGCGGGCGCGCCGCCGCCTCTGGCATCGCCGCCGGTTGCCTTACACCACGCCTTCACCTGCAGTCGCCTAGAAAACGTGCTCTCAGACTTCTTCAGGGTTTTTTTCCTTCAAATTTTGGACCAAAGTCTCATTTCTGTTTTTTTGCCTGTCTCTGATGCTGGGACCCGGGAGGCAGGCGCTGGTCTCGACTTCGCTGTGCTCGTCCCCCGCCCCCGCGCGGCCTGTCCCGGGGGCTCCCGGGATCCCCCTTTCCGTCGAGGAGAGTGGAACGAGGGTGTAAATATTTATAATTTTTTATACCTGTTGTGCGACACGAGGGGCGGCGCGCGGTTTTTTACGGAGACGCGGATGTATATTTTGCTAGCGGCAGTTCCAGGCTCAGTATTGACCGCGGAGCCGCGGGGACCCCACGCACATTCCGCTGCCGCCCCGCGGGCTCGACGCGGACAGACCCGACGAGAACCGTTTTGTGGCCCGCGTCCGCCGCAGAGGCGGGTCGGCCGGTCTGTACCTGGACTCTGAATAAACGTCTTCTGTATCCTCCTCCCGCCTCCGCTGTGGTGTGCGCTGGCCGCGCGCGGGCCCGAGCGAATGACCAGGAGGCCGAGCTCGGTGTCTGCTGCTTTATTGATCAGCGATCGGTGCCGCCTCCCGCCCCGGCCCCTCCCGCCCCGGCCCCTCCCCACGCCCGGCCCCGGCCGCGCCGCGCTAGTCGGGGAAGCGGCGCGCCTGCATCTTGCGGAAGAAGCCCTCGGCCTCCGCCTCCGCCTCGCGCTCCGCCGGCCCCGGGCCGCCCGCGTGGCGCCGCAGCGTGGACTCCCGGCTGCCCGCGCCCAGCGCCCCGTCGGCCGCGCCCAGCGGGGGCAGCCCCTCGCCCGTGGCCAGGTTGACGGTGGCCACGGCCCCGAACCGCGGCTCCTCCTGGTCCACGTCGCTGACCGACGAGCCGGGGGACGCGCCCGGGGCCTTGGGCCCCCCGCGGAAGCCGCGCGCCAGGTCCCCCAGCTCGTAGCCGCCGTCCGCCTCCGCCTTGGCCGCCTTCCACTCCCAGGGCGCGCCGGCCGCCGACAGGTGCACCACGGGGTGGTGCGGCGCGTGCGCGTCGATGGTCACGATGCTGGCGGAGTCGCGGTCCGACGGGGACCGGTACTGCGAGGAGTCGGAGCTGGCGCTGGACGACGACGCCGTCTCGGGGGCCGCCTTGGGGCCCGGCGCGCCCGGGGCCTTGGACATGGCGATGACCTGCAGCAGCCGCGGGGGGTTGGCCACGCGGGGCTGCGCCGCGGCCGCGCCGCCCTTCTCGGCCACCATGAGCCACTTGGCGCGCACCGCGGCGCCGCTCTTGGGGGACAGGCCGGGCCCCGCCTGCGCGCCCTCCTCGGGGATGTGCACCAGCGGCGGCGGCCCCGCGCGCGGCGGGAGGATGACCCGCGGCCCCAGCCCCGGCCGCGCCTGCACGGTGGGGTAGAGCGAGGGCGGGGCCGGGCCTTCCTCCTCCTCCTCCTCCTCTTCCTCCTCCTCTTCCTCCTCCTCCTCCTCCTCCTCGGCCATGGGCTCGGCGGGCGCGCGCAGGTGCCCGGGGCTGGCGTCGTCGGGCAGCCCCAGGCCGCGGCCCTCCAGGGTCTTCTGCTTCCACTCGCTGATGAGCTGCTTGGAGCGCGAGGCGTCCAGCGGGACGTGGATGGTCATGTGGCGGCGCGCGGGGTCGTCCAGCGAGGGCGCGCTGGCCCTGGGCAGCGTGTGGCTGAAGGTCACCATGTTCTCCTTGGCCATGGGGCTGCGCGGCGCCAGCAGGTCCACGTCCACGCTGGCGCGCTTCAGGCTGCCCAGCGACGTCTTTTCGCGGACCACGGGCCGGGGCGCGCCGTCCAGCCGCCCCGGGGGCCCCAGCTCGTCGGTGCTCACGGACTTGTTCTGCTGGTAAACCGAGTCGTGGCCCCGCTGCGTCAGGGCCCGCAGCGCGTCCTTGGCGGGGGCCGGGGCCGCCGGCTTCTCTGCGGGCGGGGCCTGGAAGTTGCCCACCGCATGGCAGGCCTGGCGTAGAGAGGGGTCTGGGGGTGAGGCCTGGGGCTCACATGGCTCCTCCCCTCTGAGCGTGAGACCTGCCGTGGGGGGCTTGGGCTGGGGGTGGGTGGGGGCAAGCTCTTCTCGGGTGGGACCAGTCCCTGCCTCAAGATTGCCGATTACCCAGCGCATCTGGCAGGTCTGAGCCCATGGGATTCTGACTCCACCGTTGCAAGAGTGAGACACATTAGCACCCATGCCTCCCCCCTCAGACCCCTGGGCACCCATGCCTCC